ATTGTTGATTAATTTTTACTCTGATGATTTGTGTAGGTTATTCAAAATATAATAGTTAATGTTAAATTTCTGCAAATCGGAATAGTTAGATTTAGTTCATATCTTTGGGCCATTTAGAGATAAAGGCCCTAATTTGACATCTTGGCCTACGTAAAAAAAATATATAAAATAGTCACATCTAGAAAACTGTGTATTGGCCAAAGCTCAAGAAAATTTAAAAATTTTCGAGTATCAAAGAATAAGAAAAATAGACAGCTCGAAAAGTGCAAAAGAATTCAAGAAAACAGAAAAAAAATTGATTAAAAAAAACATATATGAGCTTAAAAATTTTTGAAATTAAAAACACTCCGAATTAAGCCAATTTCAGAAAACTGGATCAAAAGATATTTTTTAATTCCGCTGTGAAATCTTAACACAAAGTTTGCCTTCCCAGTGAAATAGAATTTGCCTATTTAATCAAAAAATTAAATCAAACGTCGATTTAATGAAATGTATTCCAAATGAACTAAAAAATCGATAACTAAACATTGAAAAAAATGAGTACGAACAATCTAGAAGTTTTTTGCAAAAAAACCTGGATAAAAAGCCACACTACCTCATTGAAGGTAAATCTCTTCAAATTCACTGCACAAATAAAACTTAAATTAAAAACAGAACTAAAACAAATGCATATGCAACACAGCCACAACATTTGGAACAGTGTCAATTAACACAAAAAAGAACGGAATAAGATGATTTTTTCTTCAGCATTTTTCAACTTTCAGCATGATTTTCTCTGAATTTCAACACTCTTTTATGATTGAGTTTTTCGAGAGAGTTTTTGAGAAAACTGGGTTTAAGATATCTTATTCCCCTAAGAAACCTTACAAAATAGAATCCAGTTTCGAAACTTGGAAGCATTTTTATTTTTCGCGCTGATAGCCCCATCGTAAATTGAGAGCGTTATTTTTAGCAGATGGATAAATTGAACCAAAAAAATTTAAAGTCAAAGCGCGAAAAATCAAATTTGAGCAGAGTCAAATTTAGGAATTTCTCCGTAAAAAAATTACAACCTTGCCAGCAGACATTTGGAAAAGAGTCAATGTACGCAAGGAAACAAAAACCTAAATTAGAACGTGTTTAGTGATCTTTACACTTTTGCAGGTCGACAGTGGAGTTTGCCTTTCTGTTAAAAAAAGAAAAGAACTGACTCAAAAAATATAACGACTTTTATAACAGTCTTCACTACGTTCATCGACTCTGAAGCGAAACACAATACGACTTAAATGAGCGTCTTGAATTCAATATTAATTAGGACGGCCAAAAAACAAGCCCGACAGTATCAGCAAGAGAAACTGATCCATGACAAATACTGACAAAAAACACACACCAATTTTATAGGATGAAGAACAGGCAGTTGGAAAATTATCAATGAGCACAAGGAAAATTTTCAACAACAAATATTGTTTTCAAGCTCTTTAAGCTTTCAGAACGTTTCATAGTTGACTTTTTCGATTAAACTAATCCAAATTGAAAACAGATAGTCAGTTGCTATTCAGTATAGTAATCAGCATAAAAATTGTTCAACACAACGATTTTAGTTTTCGCAATAAAAATAAAGATTTATAAAACTAAACTTTGCTGAGCTAGTACACAATTTTACACAGAGACCAAGTTACAACTTCCGAAACACAAGCAACAAAACGGCAAAATTAAGTTCTAAAAAAGCGAAAGGTGAAAATCGAAGGAAAAGATAAAACTTAAAAAAATCTGTTATGCGCCGGAATCTAACCCCCCTTGCAGATTAGCATTTTTTCTTAGCATTTCTTTAATGCTTGAATCACACATCTTAGCATGTGCACCAATTTTTTATTTGAAAACTATTTTAAAACGTTTTGATCAAATCCCTCTTAAACCCCTTTTAAAATTTGTTGGGCTACATGAGAGACTCACGTTGATATAACTTTATGAGCAATTGATCGCTCAGTTCTGGCGTAACTTTTCATTGACTAAAAAAACTAAAAATGATAAGCTTTGGGGTAAAAATTTAGGTCCGCATTTCAAAAATGCACCATAACAATTTTGTTAAGTTTTATCTTCATCATATTTGGTCTGAAGTCCACCCATTTAAACGCTCGCAAATCAGTTTTTAAACTCGTTCGAAAAAAAACTTTTCCAGTACGGCAAGCTTCGTTTCATCATTTTGTAGTAGCTCTCTAAAAAATAATCCCAAAGATAAGCATTTGATCTAGGTATTGAAAATCACACTCAATCTTTAATACTGCCATAAAGCAAAACTCCTTTATACAACATCAAGATCAGCACAGCAAATTGGAAAAAAGCATGCTATTAACGACACTGTCATGGACAGGACATTTATGCATTTCACATGGTAAAAAATATCATCAAAGAGTACACTATTTCATCATCCCCAGTTCTACCAAAGGAATCAACATTTTAGATGGCAGACTTTTGGTGGCTCAATTTCCGCCAAGCAAAGCGACTGGCGTACAGAAAGAAGCAATTTACATACATATAAGGTATACCATGGAGGAAATTAGAAATCGAAGGGAGTCCGAAATATGATCGATTACATATGCCTTATTTGGATTTCAGTTGTGTCTAAATTAGATGACATTGTTCAACACGTTGATAAAAACGTAAGAGGAAACCTAATAAGCATCTGTCTCAGCATTCATGTAAAATGAAGCAAATAAGATTTAGAGAAAACCAAAAATTTAATAGAGAATCCAAACAATGCAAACTGATTTATTTTTGGAATTTTCTGCCGCCACTCCTCTTGATTTTTTCAAAATAAGCTTTCGAAAATACCATTTAATTTAAATCTTGCTACTTAAATATCAGTGTGAAAAAGTGAACAGACTCGCCGAGCTTTTACTAGGAAATTGAAGTTTGAACAACTTTAAGACACTTTTTGGTGGTTTGAGACTAGTAAGTAGACAATCGCGCAAGCAAACAAGTCAGTAGGCAGACAAATTTGACAAGACTCAAATCTGCGTGACTGAAAAAGGATATCAAGTGTAATTTGAAAAATTCGTTCGATACTGCTTGTAAAGTTTTTTTAAAACCAATACTGTTCAAATGCAATTGATAACATAGCCAATTGGAAAAGGCTAATATCCGCAAGTAAACAAAAAAAACACTGACTTTCCTGAAACAATTTCAACTTTCGAATTTCAAAGAAAAAAAATAGATGCCCTTTAAGCTCTTTGAATTTCTAGAACAAATTATGATAGGCGCTTTATTGATAACATCAACCCAACTTGAGAAAACTGAATCAATACGTAAAGTTTTTATTCCGCTGGAAATTTGCCATATTCCGCGCCATTTCCCCGTTCGGATTTGGAGAATGCTATTAACGCAACTTTCAGCAGATGAATTTCAAGTGAACTCAAAAAATGCATATAAGCATTAGCTAAGTGCATTGATAACTGCATCAATACGTATGAATGCACATCTGTAGTTATTAGAGACTTGTAAGACTTTTCCTGGAAAAAAATACAAAAAAAATCAGCGAGACCTATATTAGAGCTTCACTACGTGCATTACTCTTATTAATAACATTATGAATAAAGAGCATATATTTATTCGGTAATTAATATGGTGTCTTTTATTGACAAAAGTTGCTTTAGATATTAAGACATAGCCAACAGAGAGCTGGAAAAAAATTCAATGACGAAGTTAACAGTAGAAAAATACTGACTTAATTTTTTAGACAAAATCTCCATTTTCGAAATTGCAAGAAAAAAAGATACCCTTAACTCTCTTTGAGTTTCAAGAACAATTTATTATTGACACTTTTTGATGAAATTAACCCAAATTGAGAAAACTGGATCAATGAGTAAAATTCGCTGCAAAATCTGAATTCAAATTCGACTTTCAAAACTAGAAGTCGATCGTGTTCGCCAGTGGAGTTGCCTTCCTAACAAAGGAAATGAAGAAATCAAAATCCAAACAGCAAAAAACCAATTTGAGCGTGAACAAGTTTTGATTTTTCCTGAGAAATCATCACGACCTCTACACAGAGTCGAAGCTGCGCTTCGCAAATACCAGCAGTACCGCTACAAAAAAAGCAGCTTCAAAAAGTGAAATAAGAAAAAAATAAGCCTCGAATTCGTACAACTTTGCTATGTATCGGATTCGAACCTGAGATCTCGAGATTTGGAGTCTCACGCCATGCCCGCTCGGCCACGAACGCTAAATAACTGACAAACAGTAGTCACGAAAAAAGCAGCAACATATGCTAATAAATTGTCAATTCAATACAGCAAAAGTGGCACCAAATACAAATAGACACAATTTCGCATGTAATGATTTGGAATATAACAAACTGAAGGCATTCACGCTAAGTTTGCATGAACTAAACTCGAAAGCATAAACCCAGATTATGTATTAATGAAGCATTTCAAAAATATTGCGAGACATTGAGCTGGAAATTTTCTGAAATAGAGTTTTAAATATTGTACTGATTCTGTTCGGTTCTTTTGAACAATGAGAAATGTTAACTTATTATTAATCGAATTTCAAAGCACATGCTATCAAAAAAGTGTAAAAGTGCCGCAAAACTAGTACCACTATTTGAGACTTAGGTTAGAAAAAAGCATAGTCGTACTATTACACTAACGCTCGGCAAGTGTAATAAGAGTCTGAACTACGCACATAAAATAAAAAAATATTGTCTACCTATTGACCTGTTTGCATATTGGTTGTCTACTTTTGCTATGTAACCTTTTTTGGTGTAAAATAAACCATCCGAAGTTTAAACCAGCTACCATATAAACAACTGATCAGTTACATAACAATTATATAACAAATATGACAATATATTAAAAAATATTGTGCAAATTTTAGCTTCTGCGTTTCAACTTTCGGCTGCTTTATGTACTCCGCGCACTTTTGGTTGGTTTACACTTCGGCTGGTAAACTTAAGCTCAACTTAAAATTGTAACTTTACAATGGTCAATTAACTGCCATTTTTTCAAATTTAGTTGAAGTTGCACCTTTCCCTTGCTTCGATGCAGCCAAAGAGGCGGCTCTAATATCGCATGAGGTGATAGTGCGTTCTCCAGACACGACAAAAAGGATAGCAAATGTCCCCCCGGCTGGGAAGATGGGGGGAAGGTGATGGGGGGTAGGGACACCCCGTCATGGCCAACCAGAACCAAAACGTCCCCATCCTCATCATCTTCGACTTCGCTTGTGCTTCTCCTTTTCGAAACACTGCTGCCTTTTGAACTTGACAGTTCGTGTAAATCACTATTTTTCGCACATGTGTCGCTTGATTGGTCAGTAACAGTTGAAGAAACTGTGTGAAATTGCGACGAATCGTGCGAATTCGAAGTTACAGGACGCGAATCCTTTTTAGAAGCCGCTTTTAAATCAACACTCATTTCCAATTACATTTATTGCAAAAAATCAGCATAGCTTATGTAAACTATAAATCAGTAGATTATTTTACGCTGTTTTAGGATAACTTAGTGCAGTTAGATTCTAAGATTCTGCAGTAGATACAATTTGTGCTGAAATTTGGAATAATTAGTTCCAGTATTCAGATTTTTGGTCAGCCTTCAAGTCAGCATTCAAACGATTTGCATCTACATATTTGATGACATACTCTACACATGGTAATTCCCTCGATGAAAACCTAACATGTAACACAGCGTTAATAACTTGTGAAAATTATGTTCGCATCATGTTCTTAGTCGTGTTCAATGAGGCATTAATTGTTTCCAAGTTTGGATTGAGGCTTTCGCTCATTTGGTAGTCAAAAACACCCAGAAGCGATGTGCTTTCATCTGTAGCCTTGTGCCATTACTAACCTGCACTTTTAGCACCACCCTGCGGCATTGTTTTTTACGAACTGAATAAAAACCAGCTACTTGTTTTTCAGCGTCAGATGAACCAGCAGTACAATAAAACTGATTGATAGTAAAAGCTTTTTTTTTATTCCAGATCTCTTTAACTATTTCCCCATTTTGGTACCTAGTAACGAATTGCCATCCCTATAATAAACTAAATCACCGGTTAGGCATATGTGAATTGTGTACCCAGTAACGAATCTCCCCAAAGCAAAGGGGGAGGGTAGTTAAAGAGATACTCCTACCGATTGGAATGAATGTACTAGTTTAAGTAGACCACCTTCAGTGCACCTTCCTTCTATGGCTTTAAAAATAGACCAAGGATTGAAAATCTCCAAATGGATACGACAGATTTTACAAACGAAATCTTTGCTTCTCATTTAAACCAAATTCTCGCCTTTACTGTCCAAAATCGTCTTAAAGAACGAGAAAAATTGACAAAAATTCATACATTGATTGCTTTTAAGTTTTGTAGAATACAGTGCTGATTTAACTTATCCGGGCAAAACGAACAAAACTTGAATTTTCAAGCGCGTTTTTCTCAAATTGGGTTAAGATTAGACAAAAAGTGAAGAGAACAAAAGTTGCTTAGAATTTCACCAGAATTAATATGGTGCTATTTTTTCTCCGAAATTCTCAACAAAAATTTTACCCCAAAAATGCGCAAATTGTTTAAAATTTATTTTTAAGCAAAAATTCTGGGTTTTATAAAGTAAAAATCACATTTATTGACTATCAAGTGAAATTTTTTTCTCTTATACTGGTTTTTGGAGATTTAACCCTTCTTAAACTTTGTTGAGCTGCGTAAGAGGCTTCCTGTGATATAATTTTCTTATCAATTTACAAAGTAGTTTCAGCGTAATTCTTGATTAATTGAAAAAAACCAAAATGACCCATTTTTGGGGTAAAATTTTTTGTTGAGAATTTCGGAGAACAAATGGCACCATATTAATTCTGGTGAAATTTTAAGCAACTTTTGTTCTGTTCACTTTTTGTCTAATCTTAACCCAATTTGAGAAAAACGCGTTTGAAAATTCAAGTTTTGTTCGTTTTGTCCGGATAATTTAAATCAGCACTGTATACAAAACATAGCCAACATTAAATTGGAAAGAGAGGCGAAACTGCGCTTCACAACCACTGGTGAGAAAACAGGAGAGCATAAAACCAAACAAGAGTGCTCGTATCAGCGCGAAGCCCTAAATGTTCCGACTGCCTTTTAAGGTTTATTGAGCAGCAGTAATACATAAAAAAAAATGAAATAAAATAAAATGATTTTTTTTTTAATTTGAAAATTTTTATGAAAATCATTCCCCCACACGCCATATAAAGTACAAAAAGATAGATTTCGTTCCTTGTAACAAATCAATTGTGGCAAATAAGCTTCGTTCAACCAATTTGGAACGATTTATAAGACGGATTAAATCTCGCTTACGCGTTAATAGCGCGAATTATATTGCGCGTTAATTGTCCCAAATTGGTCAAAATGGCAATCTTTAAACCCTCATAACTTTACGAAAAATGATCACAGGTGAAATATCTTTTCAAATTTAAGCTCAGGACAACAATACCGTTTGAATGATATAAAAAAATTCCGTCAAAAATGGCTAGTTAAAAAGTCGAAATTTGTCTAAAGAAAAAAAAACCCACCCCGAGCACAAATATTCCGTTACTTTCGTATCGAAAGTCGGAACAATTATGTTTTAATTATGCACTTCTAAAATTTGCGAGATACATTGAATTAGAAAATTGCTGAAATCCAGTTTTATCATTGTTATGTTGGCTGCAACAAATAACTTTTTTCGGTTCATTTGATTACTAGTCGAATGTCAAAGCACGTGCTATCAAAAAGTCGTAAAGGTGCGCCAAAAATGGCACCAATACTTGCGACTTGGGTTAAAAACAAAGAACATACGTAGTATAACAATAACGCTCACTAAAGTTGGCTAGTGTAGTAATACTAAACTTATTTGAAAAAACTAGATCAAAGGAAATTTTTTTTATTCGTTTGCAAATTTTGAAAAAAAAAACCTCTATGGAAAACTAGATTGGACCACGTATTTCCGCGCCCGTTGCAATCTGGTAATTGGAGAGCGTAATTTGCCTTCTTTTTACCAAAAAAAGTTGAATTGAACTTGAAAGCTGCGCATCGGAATTTGATTCGTGGTAGTTTGCCTTTTCTAAAAAATCAACACGGCCTAAAGTAGCGGATTTGGGGGAAGGCGGAGTAGAAGCCCCTTCCTCTCAGGGATACCAACCCTGGTCACCCAAAATTGCTAATTTAGAACATCTATGCTTTGCTGATCGACCCTAAACATAGTTCGACAAAATAGGGTCTTTCTCATGACTTGGGAGAGCTCGGAAAATCAATTTGAAATTATCTAACCCCTTCCCCCGTGAGAAAATCCTAGACCCGCCCCTGACGACGTACATAAATGTCGTCGCTACGTGCATTGATACTTGATCAAAAGCATTTTAACGCATTTTCGTGTCAATTGTTGATGCCGGAAACAGGTTTGTAGTTTGTACTTATAATTCGTTCTTATAAAGAAATGAGATGAGTTTGACCATAATTATGATTAATGATATATATTTTTTTCGTTTGAACACTGACTCTGACCACAAACGACTTAAAAACTTGGTATTTCGGCATTTGGTACTCCTGCTCAAATATTAGGCAAAAATGCTTCCGATTTACCAATTTATTCAAACTCACGAAACAGTTGTAATTGCGAAGCAAATGCTCTACATTTCAAACACTAAGAAAATCAGTCAATATGAAAATAATAAACGGATTAAAAATAATTTTTATAAAATGATCCTAAGAAATATTATTCTGTGATAGTCCTATTAAAGTCTTACACATTTGATGGCAGTGCAGATAGAGAATGTCTCGCATGTCCACACTCATGGCATACTTCCACAGGGCACTGAAATAATAAAAACTAGTCATGCTTTTCTTCTAGTGAAAACATTCACGTTTTTTTTCTAGTGAAAACATTCACGTTTTTTTTCTAATGAAAACTTTCACGTGTCTAATATTTGGAGCAGGTTTGATGCACATTTTGCAGCTATGAGCACGAACATCATAAAAATCTTCATTAATTATTCAGACCGCCTCTTATGAAAAAATGCTTTCACAAAAATTAGACCCGCATAGTTCAGCGAAAAAAAAAGTTTCTAAAACAAGTGAGAAACAGTCCAGGTTTCAACTACAAAAAAAAACATAACTCCTGTGCAGGGGCGGATTTAGGGGGGAAGGGGGGACGACGATGCCTTCTCCCCTCAAGGATTCGACCCCCTGCTGACCCAAAGAGTCCCCCCTTTGTACTATTTTGGGATATCCATTTTTGACTGACCGACCCAAAAATTTTTCTAAAGGCGCCTTTGGCGACAATATACACTCATTATAAGGGGGAGAGCGCGCCGAAAAAACATTTTTGGCCTATTTTTCCCAAAACTTTCAGTGCCCTTAGTTCTTTGGGAGTGCTCGGAAAATCATTTTGGTCGGACTAAAAAAACCCAAAAAGGCCGACAAAATAAAATCACCAATTGAATTTAACAGGCCATTGTAGAGTTCTTAGTTTTTTACAACTTTTCCAATATCTGTTGTTGATTTTCTCATTCTTTTTACAAGTTGATTTATTGTTCTTATTTCACTGTACAAATTTTTACACGTTAAATTACGTTATTAAATTTCACTCACTCTCTGTCTATTCCGTGGTTGGACCCTGTCCAAACTGAACCCTCGTTTGCGACTTTCCCAGTAGACGATGACGATGCATGATTTCCTTTTTCATCTCTCGTTAAGTTCGGCTCTTGGTTGTTTTTCACGCCATTCACATGAGGCAATTCTGTACTGGCAGCCTAAGAAAAATAAACATATCCAACAGAAGAGTAAGAACGAAATGTGTCACTTAATTTGAAAAAGTAAGCTCTTTTTCGTACAAGCCTGCAAGGACCTAACGCAACTTTTGATCCAGAAAACATAACTGACAGTTGGAAAAGAGTTATGAACGCAACGACTTGTTTTTTCAAAAATCTTCGACTTTTGAACTTCGAAGAAAAAATAGATGGCCTTTAAGCTCTTTGGATTTGTAGAACAATTCATGATGGACACTTTTTTGTTGTTAAAATAAACCCAGTTTGAGAAAACTGGATCAAAAGTAAACTTTTATTTCGGCAAAAAAAAAATCAGTAAGAACTATATAAGAGTACTCACTTCGTTCATTACTCTTAAAAATAGGTGAAACATAGATGCGACGGAGAGCTTCGCACCACTTGCAATACAAAAACGAAATAACAAATTTGGAAAAAAATCGTTTTTGTCAAAAACATAAAAATTGCAAAAAAAAAAGCCAAAAAATCCTGAAACAAATTACCTGCATCATTAGAAACTTTACAAGAAGCTTCCGGAATGGTAGAGAGAAGCCGAACCATAAAAACAGTCCTTTCATTGAAACTAAGCCGTCAAAAATAAGCAGACAGATGACGGTCTAAAATAGGCGAAGAATCGAACTCCTGGGCTTTGTCGCCATGAATCAATGTTATCACTACCTCAAAGGCGCAGAATACTCCTTGACTTTGAAAATTTGACATGATAGAAGTTAGTTACTTCTTACTTGTTCACCAAATTAAGCAACGACACTTAGCGGCATGATAACAAAGCTCAGAAAAGAAACAAGGATAGCCATTTGATGTGCAAGTAGCACAAAAATGTTCCGACCACATTCATAAAAACTACAAATTCTTTTTTCATTTTTCTTCAAGTTATTGTTGTGTTTATGCGTAGTGTGATGAAGGAATTGCGTAAAACGTTATCGAATGACACTTATTCGACATCTGTTGTCTTCGAAAAATAACACAATAAAAAGACATTACATTTAATTTTTCTAATTTTTTGTAGAATAATTTTTGATTTTTTCCTAACTTTTTTTTATTGCCAAAGCAAGGCTAAATGAAGTCTCCAAACAAGTTTTCCTGGAACAAAAATGAGTTTATCTCCACTTGAAAGAAGAATTTTCTTTTTATTAGACCTACTCGAAATTAGACTAAAAATCAAAATATTCGAACCACTTTTTCTCGAAACGGTGAAATTAAAAAAAAAACTTTACAATGTCATCCGAATCACGACTGAAAGGGTTTTAAAATGATATCTCACTCGAGCTATTATATTGATTACTTTTGGTAGCTGATTTTGCTTTGGAAGACAAAAAAAAACAAAAAATAAATACACACGATGAAAAAGTTCCTACCCATTTTCAATGGTCGAAATGAAAACTGAAGATCAGCACTTAGAGCAAAACAATACCAAATTGGCAAGCGATATTCGAAATAGGATTTTAAAAATGGAGAAAAAACAGGGACCATCAAAGAAGTGATTCATAATAACACTCGTAGGAATTACGAGCAGATAAACCGACGAAGCAAAAACAGTCACTTGAAATATTTCAGGTTGCAAGAAAGTTTTTACCTTCAAGCCTAGCAAACAAGAATGTTATCTTCAAACATAGCCAAGAGAGAGTTGAAAAAGTGTCAATCAGTGCAAGAAAACCAAAAAATATATAATGTCTTGTTTTTTGAGAAAATTTCAACTTTGGAATTTCAAAAAATAGATTACCTTAAAGCTCTTTGAATTTCTAGAACGATTTACTGTTGGCAATTTTTTTGATTAAAATAAACCGATTTTAAAAAACTGAATCAATGGGTAATTTTTTCATTCCGCTGGGAAACTAGTAATCGATCACATTTTTTGTGATTTTTACACTTTTGCTGATCGAGTGCCTTTTTCGAAAATTTGCCTTCTTTTTAACAACTGAAATTAACTGAACTGCAAAAAAAACTAAAGCGAAACCGCAATAAATCAAAAGCGAAACCCCAAAAAAATCAAACTTGAGCCTGAACTAATTTTGAAACTTTTCCTAAAAAAGCAAATCATAACGACCTATGTAAGAGCCGTCACTATGTTTATCGAATCTTAAAAGAGCAAATCCGTGCAACAGCGTTCACTGACACTTTTTCAAATGCCTGGTGGCTATGTTTGGATATTAAAAGAGTTAACGCTTGCGATTAGCAATCGGGATCAAATCAGAATTTTCCCGCAAGCCAAAAAGAAAACCGAAGAACAAAACTTATGCACTTGGAAAAAAAACGATATCAAATTGGCAAGCAATCTTCGAAAAAGGATGTTGAAAATCGGACAAAAACCATGGACTATTAAAAACTGATTCATATTAACATGCGTAAAAATTATATGCAGATGAATAGTATTCAGAATATCACAAGAAAGTTGCTGCCTTCAAACATAGCAAACAAGAATGATACCTTCAAACATAGCCAACAGATTGTTGGAAAAGTATCAGTCATCGATTTTTACACTTTTGCTGTTCGATAGTGCCTTCTTTGAGAGTTTGCCTCCTTTTTCACAACTGAAATAAACTGCGAAACATCACATTTAAGCCTGAACTAATTTTAAGACTTTTCCTAATGAATCAAATCATAACAAATCACTTTTTAAGCAGAAAACTTCCAGCTTGTCTCAAGCATGGGTTTTGGGTGTTACCTCTATGCCAGATGCGCTCAATGGTTGATTGAATAATTTAGTATGAAGCAAGTTAAAAAAACACATTTTACATTTGTCATTTGAAGCCAGCGGAGAGATAATAAGAGGATAGCCATTGAGTCGGTAATAGAAAAACATTTCATACATACGTTTGTCTCAGCCGAAAACAAAATGAAAAATTTTTGAGCATAACATTTTAAAAATAGAGACTTATATGAAACTTTTCCTACTCTCGGGAAACACCATGAAATTTATTTTTCTTTCAAATAACGCAAAATTCAAAATATAATCCGACGAATCAGATGACGAAAGCATTTGAGCCGAATAAAATTTTCAAGCGAAACGATAAAAATACAGAGAGTAAATTTTTACGATAACGGGTGATAATTTTACTAAGTATACAAATCAACAAGGCTTGCAATTATTTTTAAAAAAATATTGCTTAAATCTCGAAAAAAAAAGTAGCGCTGAGTCAACTATGCCGACAAAAACGATGTCAAGCGAGAGGAAGAAACTTTTTCAGTTTGAAAACCAACAGATGAATACTATTTTAATCTGAAAAAGTCTACATCAAAGAAAAATCCTAAAATATTCCTATAGACGCTACTGCTTAAGAAAATGCATATAAATAAATCAAATAAACAATTCGGAAACTGAGCGACCAGTGCTTAAGTCGACAACCAGGAAGCCAAAAAAACTCAAAAAACTAATATTGCAACCCTAGAAGCACTGGGTAAAACAGCAGTAAGTATTATTAGCCAGTAGCAAAATTTAAATTTTCGAGAAATTGAGCTTGTCAGCTGTAAAAATGATAGCAGCACAAATTATTCACTGGTTTGGTTAAAACATACCAACAGACGGTTAGAAAAGAGTCATAAACGCAAGGAAATAGAAAAAAAAACTGACTTGTTGTTTGAAAAATATTCAAATTTCGAACTTCAAAAAAATTAACAGAATTTCGGAAAACTAGATCAATATATAATTGTTTTTAAATTCTGATGGGAAATCTGTGAATTAAATTCTTCTTTCAAAACTAGAAGTCAATCACATTTTTCGTGGCCTTTACACTTTTTCAGTTCGATAATGGAGATTGCCTTCCTTTTGACAAAAAAGACGAGCTGAACTTGAAAATAAACTGAGTAATGAACGCAAGAAAACTGAAAAAAAAACACTTGTTTTTCAAAAACCTTCAACTTTGGAATTTCGAAAAAAATTGATTGTCTTAAAGCTCATTGATTTTGTGGAACAATTGATGATTGACACATACTGTTAAGAAACCCAATTGGAGGAAACTGGATCAATAGGTGAAACTTTTATTCAGCTGGGAAATCTGATAATTAATTTCCATTTTCGAAATTAGAAGTCGATCACATTTTTCGTGGCCTTTAGACTTTTGCTGTTCGATAGTGGAGTTTGCCTTCCTTTTCACAATAGAAATGCACTGAACCTAAAAAGAAATCACATGCCAAACTGCGAAAACTCAAAATTGACTTTTCCCTGAAGATAAAAAAAAAACAAAAAAAAATCACCACGACCTATATAAGAGTACTCACTACGTTCATTACTCTTAATCAAAAGTCAAACAGCAAACAAGTAAAGCACCAAGACCTATATAAGAAAATTCATTACGTTTACGACTCGTAAGCAGTCTTGAATTACTGCTACACTAGTGGAAAAAATTGAGCGCAAATTTAAGATTTTACTCTCTAAAATGCCTGTTTTCTATGTCAATTTTTGCCAACATTTCCTTTGAAAGTCAGTTAAACTTTTCCATAGACCAAGAGCAAATGATCACAGCTACCCTCTATGAAAGTATCAGTACTTGGGTTCAATGTTTTACAAATGTATTCCACGTCTGAAAATGCTAGTTTTCCTCATCTGCACTTTAATTTGCATCGTAGTGAATTCTTTCTTGAGTAAGAGGAATTAAAAAGTTGCTCAAGCGACGAGAAACATTCTCAGCGAGAAAACTAAAAAAGTAAGAGTGAAAACTTTACTTACCTCCACTGTTTCTTAATTTTTCACACGAAACGAAAAACCTAGTGTAGATGAGGAAAACTGGCATTTTCAGACCCGGATTACATTGGTGAACCCACATATTGATAGTTTCATTGAGGGTAGCTATGATCATTTCCTCTTGATCTATGTAGAAAAAAATTGCTGAAAATCGAAGTAAAGGTTGTATAAATGGACATTAAAAAAGGTCTTTTAGAGCGTATAAACGTGATTTTGCGCTCAATTTTGTCCACTAGATTACACTATAGGATAAAATTAAGCGCAACTTCAGGTTTTCACTCTCTAAAATGCCTGTTTCCAATGGCAATTTTGCACACCATTTACTTCGAGTTTCAGCAAATTTTTTACATAGACCAAGCTCAAATCATCAGAGCTACCATCTATGAAATTATCAATATCTAATTTCAAAGAATTACCAATTTAATCCGGGTCTGAAAACGCCAGATTTCGTCATCTGCCTTAAGTTTTTAATCGTAGTGTACACTTTTTGTCGAATAAGCGGAGTAAGAAATTTCATTCGACGTGAAACTTTCTCAGCAAAAAAAATTGAAACGATCAGAGTGAAAGCTTAATTAAATTTGCTTGTTACTTACTTTTTCACGCGAATCGAAAACTTAGTGCAGATGAGGAACTCTGGTATTTTCAGACCCGCATTACATTGGTAAGTCTTTGAAATCAAATACTGATTTTTTCATAGATGGTAGCTCTAATGATTTCCTCGTGGTCTAAGTTAACACTTTGCTGAAAATCGAAGTAAATGTTGTCCAAAATGGACATTGAAAAGAAGGCAGCTTTCAGAGAAAAACCTGAATTTTCGTTTAATTTTGTCCGCTAGTGTATATACGGCATTAAATATGCACACGCCTTCACATAAAGAATAATTTCTATTCGGAACTTGAAAGAGCTTCAGTCGAATACCAGAACACTAAACAATAATCGGCAAAAACATGAACTTCAAAGCTCGATCGTTTTAGATACAATGGTTAGGAACCTAGATAAAACGTTTTAAACAGGATTCATCTCAGGGATTGAAAAAAAATATTGGAATAACAAAAAACGTCCTAGCTACAGAAACTAAGCCGAAAAACAGTATGCAAACACATGATAGGTAGAAAAAAACTTCTAATTGCAGCAAGTAAATTAGCTGATGAAAATCAAACACACCAGTTCATAAAAATATCAAAGTGTTCTTCAAAACTTAATTTCCTAGATTTGTAAAAAGTTTTTCATTGAAAAAATTCTAATTTCAAATTATCCGCGTTGAAAATCAGAACATATATTATGTAGCATTCGATCCAACTTTTGTTGTCGGCAAAGTAGGTGACAAACTTCGTCAAATTCCATTAATCTTAAAAAAATGTTTTTTTTTTCAGCTATGCGCTACAAAAATCAACTTAAGCCGGATCGTTCTCCGAAAAAAATTGAGCTCGTGGATATAAGACACAACGCCAGGTTTGGGAAAAACAATTTCTATTGAAAAAAAGTTAATTAGACATAGCCAACTGACAGTCGAAACATAGTTATGAACGCAAGTAAACAAAAAAAACACTTTGAGAAAATCTCAACAATTCAAAGAAAAATAGCTGCCCTTTAAGCTCTTTGAATTTCTAAAACAATTTATGATGGGCACTTTTCTGATAACATCAACCCAACTTTAGAAAACTGGATCATAAGGTAAAGTTTTTATTCCGCTGGAAATCTAAAAACTAAATTCCACTTTCGAAACAAGAAACTGTTTGTTTTTTTTGCGCCATTTGCACGTTCGTATTTGGAGAGTGCTGCTTACGTAAATTTCAGCGGATGAAACTCAATTGAACTCAAAAAGTGCGCATATACCTAAGCGCATTCATAAATGGATTAACATGTATGAATGCACATCTGTAGATATTAGAGCATTTTCAGACTTTTTCCTGAAAAAAATCATCAAGACCTATTTAAGATTTTTCATTACGTTCATTATTTTTAATAACATTATTTAAAAATAGTAGCTGAAAATGCAAGTTTTCCGCATTTTTCAGTCACTGTTTGCTTTCTTAACTGTCCATAAGTCTTTCTTGTCGTTGAGAAACATCTTTCTAATCCAGCTGAGTTGGCAACACCGTAAATTGTACCATTGGTAAAGGAAGGCGGCTGATATCCATATCAACCGTCTTACTTATAGGTTTTTTGCCTTGCCTTAAGACATCACCGACCAACTACGAAAAATGATTCAAACTAAACTTGGAAATCACCTTAGTTATTCTAGAATATTCTGACGACTGAATTGTCGCCGCAGATATCTGAACGGGCACTGGACTCATGACATCATTCGGTGTCCACTGCAACTGTAGCCAGCACACCTGTTTGACTCCTGCTGCTGCTGAAGTTGAGTAGGCTGAGTTATTTAAGTCCTTGCCCGCTTTTCTGGCGGCTACCGCAGCCGCCACTATAGTGGGCGAAGCAGTAGACTGGTGCAGAGACAGGTACCCCAACATCGGTTCCAACTCACTCGTCTAAATCAAAGCACACAACTCACGCTTCATCTACAGTTCAAGGACGACGAACTTCGAGGTTAAATGCGAACTTTGGAGGCGGGTAAATATTTTCATATTTTTAAAGATACATATAGATCAACTAATTTTTTTAAAGCTCCCCAAAAATCTAGAACATCAAGCTTATTCCGAGTGTATCCCAAAGCCACTTTGAACTGCAAAGCATAGATATATTTATAGATTTTTATACCTAGTCTGGGGAGTAGATTGGGAGAATGGCGGCTGACCCTTTTCTGAACTGAGCACCGAGTCTTACTTCACTAGATACTTCGTAGATATCACACTTTGACACAGAGGCGAAGCGGAGCTTCGCAACACTTGCGATGCGAAAAAAGGCTGAAAATGAAGCTAAAAAAGTACTTAAAAAACTCCATTTTACAAAAACACGCCATTCCATACTTCATGGTTGTATAGAAGTTCATAAACAGCCTAGAAAAATGGCGTATCAAAAAAAAACGAAAAAAGAACCGACAGAAACTAGGACGAAAACCACGAACCAAATAATTAAAACCTGATACGCGCTTTACCTAATTACTAGTTAAAACATAGTAGTTATATTTGCATTTTCCAAAAATTGAGCATGTCAGAAGATGAAGGAGTCCAGGCGATGAAATGACAGAGATATTTACGGGAAAAAAACCAGTACCCGATTGCAATACCCCTGCTTAACGCATGTTCAATTTCATGTTCAATTTCAGCGAAGTTGAAATGGATTAGGGCGATAGTGAAGATTGAGATTGTCCGGTAGCTTTTTTCCTACCGAGTTAACACGTTGTTTTTGTGGAGTTGTAACAAAATTTACATACCAGCGTAGCAAACAATTTTTATTACTTTAAATAGAGTAACTTTAAATAGAGTAACCAAACCAATAGTTCAGAGCACAGAATGTTCCGACCACAATAGTCCAGCCAATTTTTCATGAGAGAATTGGTGTTCAACTTCTAACTTGAGCATGGGGCACTCTCTTCCTTAACCAGTCTTCTTATCATACAAGCGATAAACGAGTCTGAGTAGCAACAATATTCAGACCAGTTCTTCTCGACACGGACAACTTTTTGAATATCTTTATGGAGTCCGAATCACGACTGAAAACGCTTCAGTATGACATATCAAGCGACGGTGTCCACTTGATATAAAGTTTTCCAGGAATCAGAAGATGACAATAAAATTTACAACTCACAGGTTGGACTTTGACATTGTTCTTGCCGTAGATGAGTGTCTCTTTGTTGTTCTGGTGCAGTGAGTCGACGTAGTCCTTCGGCGAGTGGGCCAGTGAGATTGGAGATATGCTGTCTACGCTCAGTTGAGGTGCAGCAGCTGGAGAGACCTGAGAGCGACTGCTGTTGGTGTCGTCCAACTTGTGACCACCTAATAACATCATTTTTGTCGAGAAACCAATTTTTGTCAACGTTTATTTTTAAACTTTTGCCGAGCTAAGCATTAAGAATAAAATAAACTCTTTTACAGGTTCCAAGCCAAAAAAAAACAGTTACCCAAACCTAGCCTCCCCACAAAATCTGCCACTTGCAATGCAAAAATAGTAAGCCGAGAAACAAATTTATCGAAAACTATATATATATATAAGCAACAAAATAAACCTCACCACAACTGATGTTCTAAACACGACTGCATGCATCGAAGTCTTCCTAAGACACGCGATGGATCCATTGGTAAACTGCATCGATGAAAAAATCAAAAACCACTTATTCTTATGTATAAAACAAAGACAAAGATATATAATTATAGAACCAAATTATTCAAAAAATTGTTTTTTTTCCTTAAAAATTGCAACAATTATTGTAGAAATTATTCAAACAATCGTTTTTGTCAAAAAAAATTGCAACAAAAGCCCAAAGTATCCAGAACAAAATTGCCTGCACCATTAGAAACTTTACAAAGAGCTCTGGGAATGCTACGAAGAATCCAAGTTTTCCAAAAAAAAGTACTTTGTGGAACTGAGCAGACAGACAATAATCTAAATAACCCAAAATTTTCTATTTAAAAGAAAAACAAGTCTCAACTGGAATCGAACTCCCGTGCTTTGTCGTCTCACGCATGGGGGTTACAGCAACTTTGAATACAGCTGAACCATCGAGCTACGGGATCTAAGCCGACAAAAATAAACAGATGGATGATAATCCGAAAAAGCACAAAAATTCTAGTTTGCAAAAAAAGGCCAGGCCGGATTCGAACCGCAAATCTTTGCTATCACAAGCGGTTGTTTAAACTCCACGCCAGATGCGCCGGATGGTTGCTTGGATTTGAAATTATAATTACCAAGCGGTAACAAAGCCGAAAAAAAAACTGAGCAGAAACCCTTCAAGCCGAAAAAAAAAAATCGGAAAAATTTTAACCTTATAAAAATGTCAAGTCCCTTTTCGCGTCAGAACACACCCACGCGCACAATTTTTTTTTCTGTAGCAACGACGCAATAAGAGGCCACTAGGTCATTACTAATTAGGCCGAAATTTATTAAGCCGATAAAAAAGACAAAAAAAGGAAATTTTAACAAAGCGAGCTGGTTAAAAAATAACCAAAATTTCGGCCCATTATTTGTCTGCTTATGTTTTATCCGTTTAGTTGCCACATTTAAGAATCGTTTATTTTAGCTGTAATTAATTTTAACTGAAGTTATTTTAAGCATTTTAAAAATCCGGCCGAATCGAAATTTTAAATTTCGATTCGGCCGGATTTTTAAAATGCTTAAAACAACTGCAGTTAAAATTATTTATGGCTAAAAACAAAACGATTCTTAGATGAGGCAACTAAGCCGATAAAACATTAGCAGACAAATAATGGGCCGAAAATTTTTTTAACCGAAACACTTACCGTTTGAAAAAAAAACCCAGGACCTTTGCCGTCCCAGGCCTATTCGTTATCACCAGGCTAAGCGTGCAAGAGACACTACAAATTTTGAATTCATTGTGAACCAAGGAACAACCAGTTCAATGAGTCCTGTGGACTAAGACGTTTACGGGAAAAAAGTCTAGTACCCAATTGTAATACCCTTGCTATAGCTTAGGGTTGATTAAACTACCATTTATGAAAGTTTCCTAGCAGTCTAAAACACTGAAGGGTTTTAAAATAAACTATCAATCCATACCAATCGACGTATTTATGTGGTACCACGACTTAAAAGACTAGCGCTAAAAAGACTACGCCGATTTCAAAGTTGTTTCTCAACTTCGGTGATCCAAACGAGCTGTTTTGAAAGTCAACAGTCACTTTTAGCGCAAGAAAAAAAGGCGATGCCGAAAACAGATTTTAGTAGGAATTAGTGGCAGCATCTAGGGAAAAAATCTGCTGGAGAACTACACGGACTATTAGCGTCTAATTGTACTGGAACATATCATTGAGACTATACTATAGTATACACAAGCCAATAAACAGACAACTTCTGCGACTACTATTTAGCAGGCGACATTCTAAAGAGCAACATCTCCAAAACACTTCGACAATTTTTAGGAAACCTGATAAATGAATTTGAATAACTTAATACTGAAAACTAGCACACTTTTAACCAATTTTGCTGTTTATTTCAAAATCACGCAACGCTATGAGTATAATTTTGAGATGTTTGCTTACAGACCGCACACCACGTAGTTGATATCTTATCAAAAGCTTTTAACTACAGCAGCAAAGCAGTAATTAATCAGCAGGCAAGGTACGTAGAGCCCATTAAGTCAGTAGGTATTTCAACTTTCGGCATTCTGACCTTTCGGTTCTTTTGAACCACAACTACAGCACTTCTCTATATTTTCTGTCACCTTCTTTTGGAAATTTCAACACTCCAGTTCAGGTGTGATTACCTGTTTCAATGTTAGTTAACGCTGGTTTGGGCGATTTAAAGCTGCTTGAGAAGAGAGCGCGTCTTGCGTCCGAGTTGCCGCCTTTTGGACTCGAACTGTCCATCGGAAATTGGGAAGATGTGTAGCCTATATCTGAATGTATTCTGTGTTTCAACACTAATTCTTCAGCATGAGGATCTGTCCAAAGATGATCTGGAGTTTTAGCTTTTGAATAGTCAAGCGAACAAGGTCCCACTGAAAGAAAAAATTACAATCAATAACCAGTTGCTGTGTAACGCAAATAATGCCCCGGCAATTTCGATTTTGGCGCAAACTAATGAAAAATTGCAAAAAGGCCAAAAAATCCTGGAACAAAATCACACTCACCAATAAAACTTTAGAATGAGCTTTCGGAATGCTTTTAAGAAGTCCAACCTTGAAGTCCGTTCTGTGGGAACTAAGCCGACAAAAACAAGCAGACAGACGATAGTCTACAAGGGCCAAAAACTTTCAGTTCGCAAAAAATTCACGACTGGAATCAAACTTCTGGGCTTTACTGTCACAAACTTCCGTGCTACCAATACGGCAAATGCACAGAAAGCTCATTGAACTTGAATTGATAACAAAGCAAGTAAAACACGTGCAACATTTTCATGTACAATTTCTGTAACTAAATTATATAAGGGGGGAAGTCTACTAGCCGTTTGCGACGCCCTTCCTAACTTCAAGGATAATCAGTAAACTTCAAAAAATTTAAAATCATAGCTCATCGTTTTTTCTGAGCTATGTAACTCCTTGAATGATTATGTTGTTAAAGTTAATCTTATATCTTAAACAATTCATACTTTTATAACTAACTAATTTCAGCGGCCGAAACAACTTTGGTTGTAATGATTCAAATATACTCGCATCTGTGGACGCATTAAGCAAACCGTATAGTACGAACTGGTTCCAACACCACGCACAATGAAATTTCAGTAATTTTTCCAAAAGTTTTCGCAAACTACAGTATATAACCACAGAAACTGGACATTTTAAGTATCAAACCGAATTCCACTGTTAAATAGCTAATTCTTTCATTAACAGATTTGAACTGCTATCATGAATACCGAAGTACGAGTGCCTATTCGCGGCAGTATCCACGTCATGCTTCACAGCATGGTTCAAATCTCGAACAAACCTTCTGAAACAGGAACATAGTTGCCCAATTCGTGTTCTTATTCTGGGAACGGAGAAACCCAGCGACTGCGTCCCCCTAACATTCAGCTATATCAATGAATAACATCTTTCTACTAAAAACCGCCACAGAACCTTAACTAGGACCCCGATACAACTTTGGTGCCCTATCTGCGATTTAATAAAGAGCCCACAAGTTTCTGGTGCCACTTTGGCGGATGCGTGGACCTCACTTGCACCTCGTTACATAACCCTACTGAATGGTCTGACAACTTTTACCGTCAACACTGACTTACTGTCAGTACCAAAATTACTGCCCCAAACCAAAGCATAAAACACCAGGCACCCCGATACCAAAGAAGGAAACAATTAAACAGATTACCACTAAACGCAAATGGCCTTGGCGCATAACTTGACAACATCGTTCACTTCAAACAAACCAACAGACTATCTATTGCAACCGTTCAAGAAACCACACTTCAAGATAAAAGCACCTTTAAAGTAACTCCAGGCTTTTCAATAACTAAGAAACGTAACCCGGAAAAAGGTGAAGATGGAGGTTTGGCTTTTCACAGTAAAAACACGTACAAGTACAAGAACTTAAAATAACAATCAACCCCCAAACAATCCAATTAGAAAATTGCGGAATTGAAAAACAAATTAGGAAAGTCACATAAACCTGATAATGTACACATCCCAATACACAAGCTGCGGCTATGGTTACACTGCTTCCAAAAATCAACTACTCAACTCCTAATACTCGGTGACTTTAAAGCTCATAGCCCTCTCCGGTTCTCCGAACTTGAGAGGGAAACAAGAGGAACTACACATGCCAAAGAAATAGATTACAGACCACGCAGTCTTTTGAGAGAATGTCCCTGCTAGAGAAACCTTTAATTCTGAAATAAGTCTTGCAAGTGCCAGCCTCGCGAGAAAACTTAGCTCGATCACAGAGTCTTGCCTCGTTTTTGGTCATCAGGCAATCGTGCTACACTAGCATGTGAAGTCGAGTTTGCTGAACCATCAGAACATTAATTTCTTTCATTAATGGAAACATTAAGAACTTTCGTTAAATTTAGGAAAGCAAATTGGAAAGAATTCTGTATGCAGATCACCAAAGAAGTGCCTGAAGGTGAGGTTACATTCGGCAAAGTTTTGGCAAAGGCGGCCAAATAGCACATTCCAGAGAGCCGCATCAAAGAACTTAGACCACACATTCCAAAACAAGCTGTTGATTAAACAAATCGATGCCATTGTGAAAAGACAAACTCGATAAATGTGTTGAATCTGTCATTACCCTCGCCCACAGTGGAGACGGTCATGTATTCGTCAAAACTTCTACCTCTTCAGCGGGCAAAGCAGATGACAACGCACGTAACCAACCTAATAATTTCAACAACAAAAAAAACAGTCTATGGTACCAATCATTGCGCAAATCAAATTGATCAGCACTACTGTCCTCACCCACCCATTACATATGAAGAGAAACAGAGAAACGCAGCACGCTCCGCGACATAAAGAAATACACCGGGAATCCACTTTGATTGTTCCACAGGTCGTCTTAAAAAAAAATTCACCTGTGCAAGAAAAGAAAAGCTTAAGCGCCCGACAACATCGCCCCAACTCATCTTGACTATCTCGGAGAAAAAGCATCAATTTTCCTTACAGAACCAATATCACTCTTAACACCTCCACCATTTCGCAGAACTGGAAAGTTGGTCGACCCTTTCCTTTACTGAATCCGGGCAGAAGCAACAAGCAACCGACCCATAGCCCTCTTATACCCGGTAGCTGATTGAAAGTATCTTTCTGCTAAAAACATCAAAATAACAGATTCTATCACCAACATTGATTTGAACTAAAGGTACAACCCTGCCTAAAAACACTATGAAATTGGCTTCGAAAACGCAGCTTCAACCGATCCGCAGACAAAGCTTCAGCGACTATTATAACAAACTGGAACGAAAAAAAAAAACTAATGTGATTATCGAAAACAACCCACTGCCTACCATCCAAAAACCTAAATTATAGGAGTCACTTCTGATAAGCTCTTTACTTTCGCTGAACACATTACCACGTTGATAAGCAAACTCCAAACAAAAAAATTTGCCGAAAAATTTCTCAGGCACAGGGAGCAGTAAAGAAACTGAGTAGCAGAAAGTATAACATCTCATAAAAGGCCATTAGGGGCAGTGTTCTGAAAAACGCAGCTCCTGTCCGGACTCCTTTAAGGAGTGAATCTCGTTGCAAAGACCTTCAAACTTAACAAAAAACAGCCGTTAGAAATGTAACTGGCAGCACAAAAATGACTCCAATTGAACAATTCACTGTGAAACTCAAAAACTGCCAGCAAAAGAAAACAATGAAATGTTAAGCAAAAATTTTTTAAATGGCTGCTATCAACAAGAATGATGCGACCACCACACAACCAAACACAAACCGTTGTCGAGACTTATAAACTTTTGCCAAAAAATACAATGACAACATCAAAAAAAATCATGATGAAAAAGAGCGCTTAGCACCATATCAATACAAAGTCGTTTTTAAAAGAATTCAATCGAATGAGGTGATAAACTACGTTACCTAAACATCCTCCAAACTGATGGGCTCTCAACCTCCAGAAATAGCTTTGTAAGAAAAAAGCATTTCGAGCAGTGCGCGACTTACTCCTGCTCAACTCCGCTGTGGATATTGAAAAGCTATGTCGAGATTTCACAAGAAAAACAACTGCCCAAAATGTTACGCTAGTCCCTGTGACATACGGCGCCTCTTTAGCTGTCTATCGATTCCAACGTCTCTTAAATTCGACGACATGTGGGACAACTCCGTTGCAGTTGCAAAATGCCTCAACTTGCCAACATAACTGGGCACATTTAGAGTTTCTCGATTTTTCGCGCTAATTAAAAACTGCCCGCTGAAATTGGGCACAGGATTTTGCTCGGCTCTCCATGCCAAAAACTGCTCCTTAGAACGGGTTTTACTCAGTACTGTCATACGACGGCATTTCTTAGGGAAGCCTAGGAAAACCAGAGATACTGTTTGACGCACGAGCTAAATCATTCATCAATTTCCACAATCTTTGCTTGTGAAGTACTGAAAATAAACTACAATAAAGACACGAATTGGACGACATCTCCATTTGCAGCTACAAACAAAAACAACAACAACTGCTATTATTGTTCTAGGCTAGTAATTCTGTTTTCTTGCTATCTTCGTTGAAGTAAAGTTTCTTTTCGAGACAAGATGTCGTTTTGTCCAGACATCTCTGATGTTGAGCCATCATTTCGAGATTTAGGTGATCGCTTCAACAAAAATGTCGTTAGCAACATAAGACTATTTTCATGTTCTTCTTCCAGTTGAATATCAGAAATATAAAGGACAAAATGAGAGGGGCCTAATATGGACAAAAAGACAAAGCTGCGCTCCGCAAACACTAGCGAGAACACGATAAAAAAGCAGCTTTATATGGTGAAATAAATAAAAAAGAAGCCTCGAATAAGTTAAATTATGCCATGTATCGGATTTGAACCTGAAACCTCGAGACTTAGAGTATCACGCCCTGCCCTCTCGGCCACGAACGCTAAACAACTGGCAAACACTAATCACACATAAAGCAGCTATAAATGCTATTATTTTGCCAATGCCACGCAGCAAAAGTGGCACCGAATACAATTAGACACAATTTTGCAAGTACTAATTTGGAATATAACAAAATGAATCATCCACACCAAATTTGCATTTAATAAATTGGAAAGCATAAAGCCACATTATGTATGCATTATGCATTTCAAAAAATTTCGAGATATATTGAGTTACAAAATTTCTGAAATCAAATTTTTATAATTGTTAAGTTGTGTAAAACCAATAGCTTTTGTCGGTTCATCAAATGTGTTAATTTATTACTATTCGAATGTCAAAGCACAGGCTATCAAAAATCCGTACAATTGCTACCAATATTTGCCAAAATAGGTTAGAAAAAAGAAAAGTCGTAGTATTACACTTCGCACACTTAAATTCACAAGTGTAATGAATGGTGGATTTCCGTACTTGCCTCTTTCAGTTTCAGTCTGCTTGAACTTTGAGGCAACATATTTAAGACAAGCTTTCAAATATCACATACGAATTTTAAAAACCGATCATCGAAATCACTTTGATTCACATTTTTAAACTGAGGTTAAAATTTTAGTTTAGGCTAACTGTGCCATGTTGAATCGTTATGGGCGCAGAAAATTTTTTCTATTTTAAATTTTATATTTTACATTTAGCTTTAATTGATCAAAAAATTTTTGGCTGAACATTTTGGGAATAATTTTGATTTGCAATTCGAATTGAATTCGTGTACCTTTAGTTCCATTTCTGGAAAATTCCTATCAAATTACGTTTTTGTAGCAGAATTTTAAAATTCACTTTCGACTCAGTACTTGAGCTCTCGGCTAAAGGGACATAATTCGGTGGCATATCAGCCAAATGGTAACTTTAGGTTGAACGTCGATTAGATCTTCATGTAGTGATTTGGTTACTCTTTGTGATTCAAGTTTATACTAAAATTTATATTTTCGAAATAAATTGTGACTTAAGCAACTAACCCATTAGCGAAATCAGCAGAGTTGTAACTACTGGATCACACATGAATGATTCTTTGTCGTAGTATTTGCTGAAACAAAACGACACTTAGCGCAAAAACTTGGTAGGAAAAAAGAGCAAGCGCAAAGACACAATTTGAAACTTCAATGTACCTGGATTCTTTGCAGATGAAATCTATTACACGATCCAAAATTCCAGAAAAGAGAGACAAACGCATCCACAGAAATTTGAGAGCCCGCTCGGACGGAAACTCTTGGATAGACCATGAAACAGATCCCGCTCCATTCTGACCATTCGAATTCTTCATCATGATCTTGTAAGCATTCTGTTTGTCTTGAACTTGGCCTAGTATATCACTGAGTTGCTGCTTGATTTCTGAATCAGGTAGCTGCTTGCAGAGCTTTGAAACTAAGCTTAGACTTGCCGAGCATTCAGATTTTCCTTCAAAAATAAAGTACACTGAAAGCAAATTGAAAAAGGGTTTCCTGTGCTGTGAGGTATTTAATCAAAATTTTCGGTATAGCCATGATTTATGGAGCGTTGGACTAACCTTGATTATTATTTGGTGAATTCCACAGTCCTCCGATACTGAAAGAGCTCAACACTCCTTTCTTTAGTTTGTGAACCAAACACGAATCCACAACCGCTGAAATAGGAAATGTCGAAACAAACGGCAACAGGAGAGCAACAGCAACTAAGTTTCATTGCATAAAAAAGGAATACTTCGAAAAACTTCGGGTAGCTAAATGAAACAGTTGTAGTTCAAACATACCACATAAACTGCGGACAGACGAACTATCCTCATGGATGAACTTTCTAGTGACGGCTTCCTCCATTAGCCGTTTCACTTCTTGTTTCACCTTCTGAATCATCGCGGCCTTCTCTTCGCCCGACACAAAGCTTCCTGATGCCGGAGGAATGAATGGAGCTGAACCCTGAGACGATTGAGCCTCCAAAACTTCAGCCATGTTATCTAGGTTACAACGGTGACCGACATCAGGACACGATAGTCAACTCAGTCACAAAAAGCTTTGACAAGGAGGCAAAACTAAACAAACGCAAGCAGAAAACGGCAACCCAGGATACTAAAAAAAGCTTCCAGCAAAAAAAATAGTTTCAGAGGGGGGGGGGGACTTAAAGCGCCGACTTTGAGATAGCGATCATTTGCATTCTCAGCTAGCAATCTACATATCGACGAAAAAATTCTAAAACCGCGAAATCCTTGAAAAACTGGATGAAACAAATCTCCAAGAAACTGGATTTTCCAACATGGGGCAGTCACACACTGGATATCCAGTTCAGTCTGAACATACTTACCCAGTTTTTACAAGCCAGCGGTCAAGAAATTGTAATATTGCATCGGAAGTACATGCCGACGGAAAATAAAGCTAGGTTCTAAAACGACTGGCTAGCGTCTAAACACAGCTTCACATGCTTTTAACCGTCTCTACCAAAGCCAGTTCAATGTGTGGTCCATTAACATCGGGTCGTTAGAGTCATTGCTACTCAAGGCTATCGGCCAAAACGCGCAAATTAACTTAGTTATATGCAGAATGAGTGAGCTCATGGCTGGGTCTCAGTATCCCCAGACCACGAGAACACTCCTAAAAACCGGGCTATTACTTATAATCATATTACTATTGTTTTTGTTGAGTAGATGAAAATCATCAAATCCATCATAAATAAATCAACCCTTTCCCTCAACTCCTAGCTTCTCATGTTCTGAAAAAAGAATTAGCTGTTATTCAAATTCAGTTCTAGGCATTCCGTGAAGCTAAAAGTTGTTAAAATCAATGTCTGTTGTCTTTCACAAGAACCCTCCGGATTCTCGAATCCGGTCGAAGAGCAGTCTTCATGGCAATCAGGTAGGGTATCAGATCTTCCCAATAGCCCTCCGAACTCTCGGAAATGCTCGATCACCGCAATTTGACCCTTCTTATTTCGTTCAATTAAAGAATTAACACCGTTATTCCTTGAAGTCAAGTCAAATCAAGTTTTTTATGACCATTAGGCAGTGCCTCTTGAGGTCATTTCAGATGTGCTTTCCTATCTCCCTTCGAAATTGAACCTGTCAATTCCAATCGCTTTCCTATGTTTGTACAGTTTCCACTTGAATTCGTCGATGATCTTGCTTTGCACTGTTTCATGAGCAGATTGTTCCAGTCGAGAGGTGCTCTTATCGTGAAGAAGTTTTTTCGTCTTTCACAATTTGCTTTACGTACTACTACTTTACATGCGTTACCTCTAGAATCCCTATCATTCCGCTCGAATAGTCCCGCAGTGGCATTCCTATCATAAGAACCCTAGCAGATTTTATACATTTCTATCATTGTCCCTCTTTTCCTTCTGTATTCCAGCAATGATAGATTCAGTTTTTTAAGGCGTTTGTAAAAGGATAGATTTTTTATACCACTAACTGACGAATCGCTCTTCTTTGTACGTTTTCCAAGGTCTTTTGATGCTTGTTACAGTCGCCTTCTTAAGTCACATATGAGGTTAAAGAAAAATAGGCCGTATAACCATTGGCTTAAGAGTCAGGGACACTATCTCTTGTGTTTTTCCACCACAAACGGTCGGAGCCAATTGGGTTCACTTGCGACATGAGACTAAAATCTTTGTTACAGCTTAAACTCCACTACCAAAAACACCCCCCCCACTCTAGAAAATAAGAACGTCCCCTTAATTAGGTTTGAAAATACCTAAAACACGCGAACGCCGTTAAAAACAGGGTCAGAACAATCCGTATGGTGGTTTTTTATTAGACAGTGGAACTTTGATCCATTTCAGATGGATCAACCTAAAACTCTCCCTACCTCGACATAACAATATAAAACACACTCAAGAAAAATAAATTGGGTACTCACATACCAGCACACTCCAGAATTTGGGTAACTAGATTAACAAGTAACTCCAGAAAAACTAGGGAATTAAATTTGAGTCGAGGAGTTTTAAAGTAACATGTTCCAGCTTGAGAATGAGTTTTGACTTGAGAAATAAGTTTTTGGGGCTGGACAACTGAGAGACTTCGGTTATCCACCTTTCCACCGAAGGTTCACTCTGGTCCACTCAAATTTACTCTCCTTCCACTCGTGATTGCATTCTGACTTCTGACAAGAAAAAAACAGCTTTACTCTCGAATGATATTATATCTGAAAATGGCGAATAGCTATTTCCCGCTGCTTTTTCGACTACTTTCATGCAATTGTAGTTCGGTTGTTCTGATTTTGTTATCTTGATATTTTCAATTGTCGCGAGAAACTTGAGCATGACATGTCCGATTCGCATTATTGAAAAATTTCATAAAAACCCAAAATCATGTTTCTTGCGTTGCTCAAGGTCAAACTTCCAAAAATGACCGACTGGCACATACTCCCCGGACTCAAGATTGATGTCCTCAAGTGATGTCAACGAGTATTGCTCAAGATACTGGTCATTTACAGAAGTTTGCAGTAGATTTAACTTTATATACACCCCAAAATTCACAACCATGCAAAAATGTCACATTATCGCTAAACAGCAACCAAGGTCTGCATGCACTTGCACCCTTAACTTCCGCTTTGCAAGCTAATGATTAAAAGTTCTTTTGTCTTATCCAATCAGAAAATTGTCATGCAGCATTTTGATTCATATAATAGATATAGCATATTAATAGCAATACTTTGTTTCATTAAAATTTCTTTTCCGTGACCTCAGATTTTATCCGAGTTCACACTCAAGCCCCTTATTCTTTCCCTCTCAAGACTCATGAAACCGACAGTGAGCTTCCTGCTCACTTCATCCTCTTCGCCTTTGAGGTGCTAGGCCCTGATGCATTCGGCACCGTAATCTGCCTCAGCAGCGCTTCCTCATTTCGAAGATGATCGCGATCTCTTTCCAAGCCTTTAGTTGTTCGTAGGATTGCATCCACTCCCTCTGTTTTTGCAATCTCTTTGCCTGGTTCGGCAAACCCTTCTTTTAGATTCCCTGTCCAGGCAAAAAGAGTTGTGTAGGCTCAAACTCACGTTATTTGCCCAAGTCTTCTTCCAATATTGACTCCCTCGCCTTGGTGTTATCTCTAGACACCCTACCGATTGTTTTCTAAACCGTTGTGATTGCATTACGATGGGCCAGCAAGGGTCTTTTGAAGGCTTCCGGCCCTATCTCAGCCAGGAACTGTCGATATTCTTTCTGATGCTTCTTCATGTGATCCTTCGTCACCGCGTATAACCAAGACATCAATGTCGCCCGAAACCATGAGAAGAACCTTATACGGCTCCACACTTGCCTGACCTCCATTGGTATAGCGAATACCTTGCACGCAGTCTCAAACAACTCAAGCCTCCTGCTGTAATCAATAGCGTGTATCGATTTCGCTGTTGTTATCTTCGACTCTCGATATTTCGTCACGTTTTCTGCCATCCATCGCAACGCCAGCATTGAACTCACTACCAGTAGGGACACCTTCTGCCGATGATCGGGTAACCCGGTTGACCTAACTTCTTCCACGTCCCATATCAAACAGAGGTTCAAGTGCTCCGGATACCAAACCGTTTGCGCCAGACAGTGACACGGGCCTTCCCCATGTGTGAGGTTTATACTCCGGAGTTTGCGTTCTCCCGATGCTTCAAGCAGAGGTTCCAGCTCCATCGTGTTTTCGTGCGTCACATCATTCTCCTCCAGGGCTGGGGTGCTGTTCATCGGTTTCCCGATCGTGTTTTGTCTCTCGAAGTCACTCGTGTTCTCACCTTCCAGACTCAAGAGTTCTTCCCTCCAGATCTCACTCAAGTTTTCTCTTTGTTCCCCGGTACAGTCCCTAGGATATTCCTCAACAAACTGTGCGAGTGATGCGACATTCGAGCCAGGCATTTGGGTGCCGAGAAGGCTTTGTCGATTAGTATCCTCTGGCTGGATACCTCCACCATTGCCATGTGTAGTGGATAGTGGCGTCCACACTGGTTGGCCATGACTGATCCCACTAGGGATTTTGCGTTCACTGGCAAACTATAGGCTTCACTCACGGGAAACCCCATTTCCGCCTCCAGACCAATCTTTCACCCTCTGATGTGCTTCTGGGTTATTTGAAGCGCTCCAGGCCATGACTCCACGCTCAACGCTAATACCAAGTGGTGCTCGGACTCCAGCATCTCCAGCGACTGCAAACTACACATCCTTGAGAAGAGCCCCAACGCCGTTGCTATATTTACAGTAGTGTTCGTGTAACGTTCAGTCACTATCTGTACTTCACTCTTCTCTTTCGCGGTGATTTCGCTAAACCAAGTGGCTAGATCTTCTCTCTGAAAGGACTGTATCCTGACACATGACCGTTCATCGCAGGAATGTTCACCACTTCCAGACGTCAGACTGAGACAACTACCGGGTTCCATCATCTTCGTTGACCTCTCTAGCTTGTTCATGGTTTCTCCCGACTCCTTATTATGGGGTAGGATCAGCTTGTGTACCACATTCAAAGTTCCCAAGTCTTCATCCTTTGTCGGCTACAGTCTCACTTGCTCCGTGACTTCCTCTATCAGGCTCGCATGGGGATGTGGGCACCAAGAAGGCCCCAGCAACTTCCAAACCGTCCCCAGATTCGTGATCAGCATGCCGTTTCCATCTCCCATCTTAAGCTCTACCCTCTTGTTCGAGCCCGGTACACTAATCACCTCTGGCATCTTCTCAAGTATCAGGCCTAGGCTCGGCCTTTCTTTTACCACTGGGTCAATTTCAATTATCTTCTCTGTCCAAAACTTCAACAGCTGTTCACAATTCGTCTCGTTCTCGCGGACCTTCTGCTCCTGCTGGCATTCCGCCCTGATCATGTTGAGATCACGCGTCGCCTGATCCCTCTCGAGGACTGCTTGATCTCTTTGCAGGTTTGCCTGGTCCCTCTCGAGCTTCGCAACATCCCTGTCAAGGTTCGCCTTGTCTCGTTCCCTCTGTGCTCTCTCTAGTTCCTTTTTAAGCTACTGAGGTCAGGGTACGCTTCCTC